CCTCCCAAAAAAGACTCCTAGCCTGCACTCTTTAAGTGCCTAAATCAGGCTTCAACTGCGAAGCCCCTCCATCTTCCCCAAATCGTTTTGTCCATCTCTCTCCAACCACACAGCCCCCATCCCTTTCAAAGTCATGCACTTTTAGTGCTAAGCCCCATCCATTTTTCCCATCGCCAAGCCACCACCTATCCCTGTCTTTACCATTGCAGAGACATTCCCCTCCCCTTCCAAGACGTGCCCCCTTCCACCAACTAGTCCTGCCTCTCCCTCCTTAAAGGCCCAACCCTGCAACTCCCTGGCTTCCACCATGCTGTTTCCTTCCTTAATTTTAACAAAATTTCCCCACAGTGCTTCCAATCATCTTACATTTGGTAGATACCTGCTGTTCTCGGGTAATATCCATTGCAAAGAAAATCCAGCGTGGGGTGGGGATGGAGGAGGATCGGTTGAGAGGAAATTGTATTCTCTGCATAGGCTCATTTTACCTTGACTCTAATGGCCGTTTACAGTATTTTCCCTGGACAGAGAATAAATACACAATTCGCTCTTTCATAGACAGGTCTAGATAAAAAATTCTTTTTGATGTAAGCATAGGTGCGTACAGTTGCTGAGGATTTTCTAGCAGGTAATTTGGTCTCTTTTCTTTTTTTTATGGAATAAAATGCTGAATGAACTTGAAATTTTGTGTACCATGTAGTAGGAAACACAGTTGATAGAGTCCTTTGGATGAAGACAGATGGGGCTAGTGATGGCGGTTTGATCTTGTTAAGATCCCTATTGTTACCAATAGAAGATAAATAAGTTTGATTTCTGCATGGGTTATTTATCTGTTTAAGTTTGAGTATGTTCATCTGTACGCTGGGATACTGCGTCCTACTCAGCCTGGGTTGGCCTTGGCATGCAAGGTGGAAGCAGCCGGCCCTCCTAAATGATCTAGATTGTGCTAAATATTTACAGCAGGCTGCTATTTTTTAATGTTCCGTTTAAGTTAAGAGAAAGTAAAAACAACTGATAGACCTCTTAAGGTGTAATTTTGAGTACAGTATCTAGACCTAGACTAAAGTTCCATCTAAATTTTGTCGATCTTGGTTCTAGACATCAAGTTGGTCTTTGAAATTGTGTAATGTGAATAAGTAAGCTTTCTGTCTTTTTGGATAGTTTTTTTTTTTAAATTCCGAAGTTACTGCAAGATAGGGCACACTGTTGTAAAGTTAGAAAGAGAAAGAAAAGTAGTCAGTGGAAAAAGTGTGCTTTGGGGTTTGGGGGGGGGGGGGGGGGGGGGGGTCGGTCAGAAGTGCCATGTGTATACTCTATTGATTCATCATAATGGGTAAGAATGAAGCTTTCAATAATACTTCAACTCATTCTCCAGAATTAAGCGAGGGAAAGATTTCTGGGATATCATGTCAGTTTACATGCTGGGAAGGGGTTTTAAATGTGCCTCCGGGTTTTCCTTTGGCTATTGGAAGCACTGTTTTTTAACCTCTTATTCTCGGGGGGGGGGTTCTTTTCTTTGGTTAGAATGACCAAACTGAGTGAGGTTGTCAGAGTCTGTTGTTTAGCCTCAACTTTCCTCTCTCTAAATCATATACTATAGATTTAGCTAGAGGTGTCTTTGCTCACTCTACATTATTTGGTATAGGTGGCAGTATATTTGCTCTCATAATAGTCCTAGAGGTCTGCCTTTTTTCTCTCGTTTTTCAAATGCTCTCAGGAATCTTATATCATGTTAAAGGAAAATCATTCCAATTTCATAAAGAAATCCAAGGAATCTCTACTTTAAGTGTCTAAAAAACATTTGAATTCTAGTTTCTTTTCAATAACAATCAAGAAGGGTATCAGACATGTTTTCTCTGTCATAAGTACACGTACGTAGTTCTTTCAAGCACTGGAAAAGAGATGTGCTGTTTTATAGTATAGAATTTATGACCCTGGAGTTTGTTCGGTCCTGGCTGTCCGTTCGTTGTACAGAGGTCTATGACACAGGAGACCAAACAGTTATCACTGTGGTAGGAGAAGCTGTTGTGCACAAAAAACACACCATCTACAGGCGTTGTTTTGCCATTGTTCTCTGCATGTTCGTGTGTGTGTGTGTGTGCGTGTGTATGCGCGTGCGCACACGGGCGGGCTTGTGTATGTGTGTGTGTGCGTGTGTGTGTGTGTATGTGTGTGAGAGGGGATCAGAGGGGCTATGTGGATGTACTGCTGTTGTGTGTTAGTTGCATGAGGGGGGAAGCCCACGTTGTGAAGGGCAAAGCCAAACAGGTAAAACAGGGTGCCTGCTGAATTGGGTTTCGGCGTTCCTTATACTTATTCCAAAATGTTCAGGTTGCACGGCTGTTCTGTATGAAGTGAAAGATGTTCTGTTGATATTTCCACAGCTCATGAGAATGCATCATGTACATCGGTGGCCGTTTTTGGCTAACGCTTGTTGCTTTCTTTGGCTAAATCATTTTCTATCCTCGATCTTCTAGTGTTCTAGTAATGTACCTTTAGTTTGGAAAGCTGATATGAGCCGGAGATTTCGTTCCATGGAGAACATAATGATTTTAAGAAAACTAAGCAATGTGTATTTGTTTTTGTTAGTTGTTTGTTGTTGGCAGGGTTTTTTTGACAAAGAATTTTTGTTGCCGTTGTTGTTCTGGGTTGT